GATTGAATATTATCTAAATTAATTGGATTTGATCTAATTTATTTTGCATCGATCTAATCTGATCTGATTTGAATTAAAGTTAAAATTGTTATTATTATAATTTTATTATCTTTTAACATTATGATTTATTAAATAATTCATGAATATGTAATGCATTCAATAACTTTTATTCTAGATTTATGTGCTTTATCAAACCAAAAGAATTAATTGAGTAATATATTGAAGATGTAGAAGAATAATAAAATCGCTGACAATAAACAACAATCACTCGAAAGAAAATATGGATGTTATGTTACAAAAATGATAACTTTTATATATTTCGAGCTAATAGTGTTAAAAATCTAGATGTCGTTCTAATCATTTAAAAAATGTGAAATTTGCACTAAATAGGACTAAAACATAATGACTTTCCTAATCTAGGACTTAAACTTTTTTATTCCCTAAATAGGACTTATTAATGTCTTAGTGGGAAGAATAATGTCCAGTAATGATGGACATTACTTGAATAATGACTAATTCATAATGACCAAAAGTCCTACATTGGGAAATAAAAACATATGGTCCGGAAAGTCATTATGTTTTAGTTCTATTTAAGTAAATTACGTACTCTTTAAAAATCTTGCTAACATAATACTCTATTTAATTAAAAATGTCCCAAAAATCACTCTTTATCTTTCTATATTTTAGAAATGTATATGTAGTCCAAAATATTTCACTTCCTTTTAAAAAAATTAACCACTTGTGTTTTAATATTCATATCACGTTTATAGTTTTTTAATCATCGTGAAGACAAAATGACAAATATTTTGTATGGAGAGAATATTATTATTAAAATTATTGCTCCCATCATCCCGAAAAGTCATGAGGTTTACTATTACAAGCCTACATAAATTTTATTTGCATATGTATTTTTATTGATTATTTCATAAAAGAAAAAAGTTATATCACTACTTGTTTTGTAAAAGTTTTGATGTAGTTTTTTTATACGGAGTATGTAAATTATACGTAGTACTTTTCATTTCTATACCATTTTGTAGCGCTCCACCAACATTCACTGAAAATCAATAGTCACTCCGCACCACATCAATGCTGGTTGCACTCACCATTGCACTCATTTAGCGCTTGTACGTAGTACTCCACTTCCACTACAATGATTACACAATTTATGATATTATTTAATATTTTGTTATTTCTAATTACATTAACTTAAATTATATCTCCTATGATTAAAATGAATAACTTATTTTTATGTTTTTTTATTTCCTAAATTTTTCTAATAATTTTTTCCGTACAAACCTTTTTTTTTTAATTTTTGTGCTTAATTCAAATCGTTTTTTTTTGTTATGTAGTCGAAGGACGATCGAGCAGATCTTCCGTCTTCAAACCCATCTCGACTCAATGATGGTGTAATTAAATTTAACCGGGGGCGCATGGTCGTGTGTTCGGGTCCCACGGGTGGCCCCAAATGATGGTAAAAATTTAACCGGGTAGGTTTTACCGGGTCTGACCTGGTCAAAACAGACTCTATCGAGTAAGCCAAACATATCGAAAAGTAAGAACACAAAAATGACCTAGACCAGGAAAAAATTCTTATGCCTAAAATTATATTTCTTACTCTATCTCAAGAGTGTACAAATGTGTATATGAATGATTGAATGTCCCTCCTCCACCTCTTACAATCTATTTATATAGGGCGTAGGAGGTTAATTAAGGTAACAAACCCTTCCTTGGGCGTAGGCCTAGCGTCAATCACCATCTACATAAGGAAATTAGCACTTGACCCCCCTGCTTGTTGACATAACCGTTAATCGGTGCCAATCTCGCCCCTAATTATGTTTTCAAGTGGTTTAATGCAATTCTCGTTCAGTCATTAAGTCCCGAATATGTGAGGTAGGATAGTGGGATAACACTGCACGCGCCATCGATGAGCGCTGTGTTCATCGATCAAACTCCTAAAATCTGGTCGTGTTAATCCAAGGAGATAATCCCTTAGATCACCTTCTGTAATGACCATATAAGAGAACGATCATGCAACAATATGACCGGTCACTTTCGGGAGAAGGCATGACCGATCAGTTTCCCCGACATTTCGTGCTACCTCAAACTCAACTCGGCTTCTTGACCAGTCATAATTGACATGCCACTTTCCTGTGGGTTCGGGCTGGGTATTAGTTATACCCATCACATCCCTATTATTAGGAAAATTTGGAATAATAGAAAATTAAATATTAATATTATTTACTTTCTTATTTTATTATTACCAAAATTACTTATTCTACTGCAATTAGGATTCTATATGCATTCCCTATATATATAAGGATGGAATCTTCATTATTTAATAAGAGCAATTATTATCAAATTATGTCATGGTATCGAAGCTAATGCCTCTATTTTCAAAAACTTAGCCTCCATTCTTTAACAACCATGCGCCCTGTCGGTTTTCATCATCGATGATCAACTGCCATAGATCATGGCTTCGTCATCCCTTATCATTTTCTTTCTCTCTAAAAATTTATGAGCGTGTCTAATAGACGTTGTCCTTTATCCCTTGTTATCGTCCAAAAAAATTGCGTGCGTGATCAAAGAACTAGAAAGCTGTACTTATGTATTCTTCTACAGTTCGAGAGCCTGGAAAGCAATAGACATGCAGAGAATGGCTCACAAGGAGAAAAAAGAAACTCCACGCATTCGCTCCAATCCACAACACTCTCCACCAATGTAGGACCAATGTCCACGCATTTCCTAAATATTACTTGAATGATGTCTAGTGGCAGGAACAATGTCCAGTAATGATGGACATTTAGTTTGAACAATGTCCAGTGGCGGTGGACATTACTTGAACAATGACCAGTGGTAATACATTATTCCGTAAATAAAAACATATGGTACTACTTTGAGAAAATCATTATATTTTAATAGTAATTAGGTAACTTCTCCTTGAAAAATCGGAGCAACATTGAGATTGAGTTCATCACTAGAGGATGAGTCTTGTACGGAGTATAATTTTAACCTAGCTAATGAATTAGGGGCAAGATGGGAATAAGAAATTCTATATAATGGATAAGTAGTTAAGTACATAGAGGGGGTAAAGCTATTTGTACCCCACTTTGTACCCCGTAGCTTTGCACCAACACTTTGTGTTTGTGTAAAACTAATTTTTATTAATGCACCAATACTTATGTCGGTGTAAACCATCAAAATGTTTGTGTATAACTGCGGTGTACAAATGAGATACAATTTGTGGTGTAAGTGTAGCATTTTAAATAAAAAATTTTAAAAAATAGTTCTTCAAGATAGCTATTATATATTTATAACACTACAATTTTATTATGTGTATTGCTCTGTACTATAATACTCCGTATTAATTGTTGTTTTAAAGACAATTTGTTAGGGCCAAGGCCAATATTTCGTCTTCTCCAGAGTCATCAAATCCTCGGATTCAACCTTCCATTTTGGATAAAATTTTAATTAATGTAGATCGATTAATTTTTAAAATGATTCATCTAAACACCACCGTTAAATACTTTTATATTAAAGTATTAACGCTAAAGGCGGAGGATGATGTGAAAGACACCCTTACAAATATTAGAAGAATTTGAAAGAAACACCAAAGATTAAAATAAAAAAATGTAGCATTCAAAAAAAAATTGTAAGAATTTCAAAAAATGTTAACAATAAGAGCTTTATTAAGCTGCAGACGAAAGGAACAAGTGAACAAGAGTGTTAATTTGCAGGTTAACCCAATAATGGGCCCGATTTAGGTACGTTCTTCATTAGATCGACATTTTTGGCAGAAACACAGGTTTTGTCTTTTGTTTGAATAAAGCCCATATATGGTCCGTGGCCACATGAATCCATTTTTATGGCCATAATTAACGTACTTTTTCTTCTTTAATAATAAAACGTGACAAAGGACTACACAGTTATATGCAATGATTCATGGCACGTAAACATAGATTCGTGAATTAAAACGAATCACTCGCACGGGTAGCCCAAGTGGCAAGCACTTGGTGAAGTTTGGAGAATGACTAAGGATCGAAACCTGGCAGCAACCGTTGTGGAGGCGACCACCTCTGAAAAATGGGGGGAGTCTCTGGTGCGCACTAGGATATGGTCTAGCTGGGTCACCGTAATTTACCTCCTCTCACATTTCCGTCGGGTCGGAGGACTCGGGGGTGAGGGGCGCCCGGGGTGAGCAATCTCACCTTTTTGGAGAGTGAATTAAAACGAATCTTTTGATTTTAGATTCCAAAATCATATTATGAAGTTGGTAATTTTATGTTAATAAAATTGAGAATTTCTACCTTTTTTAAATCCCTAAATTCTCTCTGACTCCCATCACAGCACCATCTGTCCCTCCCTCTCTCTTCCACTTCATTTCGTTGATTGGCTACAGTAATTTACTGTTGCTAATTGCTAAAATGAAGTGGAGGGTAATGGATGCTCTGGTGATGAGAGATGAGTCAGGAGGTAAGAACCATCAAATTTACCAACAAATCACCATAAATGCCCGAATCTTAATATAACCTTGGATTCCAAAGTCAAGAGATCCTCGCCATTCATGAATATATATATATATATATATATATATATATATATATATATATATATATATATATATAAAGCTCAATCTAACAATATTCAAATTATTGTTCAAGCTAAGATGGTCATGAAGAGCATTAGGATGGTTTTTTTAGGGAATCAATTAAAGCGATATTGATTAATTTTTTATGAAAAATAAAAGATCTAATGCCTGGAAATTTGACGTCACGCCTTTTGCAAAAAATAGGAAGAATGTGTCGACCCCAAAATGCTTTAGACTTACCTTAAATAAATAAACACTTCACCCACACTTTTTGTTTTTGTTTTTTGACATCACAGACTATTTGTGTGACTAGGACTGTTGGGAAATATCCCTCCTACATGGAGGAAGTGTCCAATTTTAATTGGACAATACTTTACATATATCTTTTGTATTTGGGCTTCTTTTATGTGTAAAGCTTTAGCCCATTTGTTTTGGTGGCCCATACTGTGTGGCTATTAACAAAAAAAAAGGAAGGGATAAGGCAGCATGTGGCAGTAGCTACGCAAGAGAAAAAAAAAAAAAAGAGGCAGTAGCAAAAACGCAGGAAAGAGGGAGAAAAACAGATTTCTCGCCACACAGTGCAGCAGCCACTTTTCACCTCCGGATCGAAGGCCAAACGAAGTCCGATCGTGCTCAAATTTTAGTATGTTGTTCCTCACATACTCCTCTTCAAATCCAACGGTCAGATTCTCATTTTGATGCCCGGAAGGTTGTTTTCTGGCTGCGTTTTCAGACCTGCGTTTTTTTGGGAGTTTTTACTCCATTTTATGTTGAATTGTTGATTGTTGTTGTTCCAAGGTTGCTCCTTGATGATTGTG